GTAAAATTGGGAAATTTTTTTTTTTTTTTTTTTTGTCTGGTAGAGAAGGATTTGCGAAAGCAGGAGTATCTGGAATAAGTTGCTATACGAGTCTTTAGCAAATATCAAAGGCAGCCAATCTCTGCACTATGAGGTATACCATTTTATCTGATCTTCAGGCAGTTAACCTACCCATATGTTAATTATCTAAATCAGCCCCTAGAAATGAACAGCAGACCTTTATCCAGTCTCATGATCGCGTATGTAGGAATAAGTTTGATCTCTAGGCCTCTTACAAGACATGCTCCTTTAAAACTCCAGCATTCTGGTTATGGATTTAGCCGTCTTAAATTAAAAACCATTCCATGAAATGGCTATTTTAAAATCTAAAACCATGGGAATGGCCTTTTTTAGACTTTAGATAAAATAAAGGCAGTATTAGTTTCTTTGAAAGTTTCGCAGCGCCCTCTGCCTGTAGAGGGATGTCATTGCTCAGATGGACCAAGGCTGTGTTTGGAATGAATACTAGCTTACTACTTACTGAATACTGCTCAGTATATACTGCATTCTGCCTAATTAAAAATAGCAGGTGAAAAAGGTATTACTTCACAGTAAGCGTTTGAAACAATAGTATGTTACTTTGTTGTCACAATACACATTTAAACCACAAATGATGGTAAATGAAAATGAAACATTTTAAATGTATTATGCTTTGCATTTTTAAGCCAGTTTTGTGTTAACTTTTGCCAGTCTGATAAAGCAATCCGTCATTTAAAAAATAAAATAATATAACTGATATTACCCTCCGGAATGCTCAAGTGTGTTAGTATTTTTTATATACTACTATAGTTTTTATTCATATCTTGAATTATCTTTTATATTTTCAGTTTTCATTTTAGTTAATTTGAGTAATTTTGCTATGTGATTTTGTCATTTTATGTTTTGATTGTTCATTTTTATATTTTTATTTCAATTTTATTTGGTTAATTCCAGTGAGTAATTTCCCCCTTTTTTCAGGTAGTTGCCAAAGCAACATTTCTCATTTTTTTTAAATTTAGTTCAAGTTCTTTATCCAATATTTATTTAGATTTTATTTTAGCTTTATTTTGAATTGTTTCATTTACAGCAATTTAGTTTTAGTTAGCAACAATTGTAGAACATTGTGGGATACAATGTTTAACACAGCATGCTTTGTCGTATACTGCACATTTTGGCAAATGTAGTAAGGTACAAGGGTATTTCATGCATATAAAAATGTGCATACTGTACACACACACTATAATACACTTACAGAATAGTATGCTAGTATGCTATTCTGGACACAGCCAAGCAATGAGTTTTAGATGGAAGAGCGACAAGGTGGAAACGCCTCATATCTAGGCTACCATTAGGTCAGTATTTTGGTGGCATCATAAACACTGTTTATCTTAAAAATATAAATTCAAAACACAAGTAGTATTGCTAGTAAAACTCTTAATACTGGTCACATAAAAAAAGTTTTTTAAAAAAGGAAGGCAAAAAGATTTTGATGATGATATCCCTGTATATTTTCTTATACAAGCTCATGCACTTCAGTATCATAAGGTGTGCAGACCAAACATAACAATCTAAAAGCTTTAAAAGTCTTTAAAACATCGCTGAGCACAGGAAGAAAACACTTCAATACAGAAGTAACGAGGTGAAGAATTAATGGAGTTGCCTTATGTTTGGTGACTGAAGCTCAGGGCAGTAAAGTGCTCTTTTTAAAAATTGCCTTTTGATACTGACTCAGGACCAGCTTCGGTTTTTTTAATCCATGATTAAACCCTGATAAGCATCAAATTGGCATCTTATCTGTATCTAAAGGCAACTTTGATCAACTTGCAGTAAGGCAGTGGGGTTTAAAGGTCAGGGGTGACAGCTCAAAGTTTAGATCTCCAGCTCCGCCATGGCCCGCTCCAGGGGGTCAGTGCTCCAGTAGTCATGGTCCCAGCCCAGGAACCAGCCTGTGAAAGTGGGCGGCTCGAAGCCCTGTTTAATCTTCACGATGGGTGTGCGCGGGTCACGGTTGGCTGGGTCCGTCTCGATGTATCGGGCAGCTGGAGAAAGACAACAAATTTAATATGGGTTTCATAAAAGGACACATAATAAAGTGTTTTGGGATTTCAAAATAAGCTCATGTTTCTATCTTCCTTTCTATCTTGTACACATTATCGCCACCTACTGGACTGTAGCATCGACCACAGACAATATTAACTGAATAAATCTGTCATAAGATACAGTATTCAAAAGTTTGAGTCAATAAAATAAATAATTTTGAAAAATGTAATATGTCCTTGCTGAATACAAGAGACAGTAAAGACATCTATAATGTTATAAAATATTTCCAATTCAAATAAATACTGTTTTTTTTTATCTTCTATTCAACAAAGAATTATGAAGTGTATTTTTTCCCCCAGAAAAATATTAAACAGTTAAACTGTTTTCAGCTGATAATATTAAAAGTTCCTTGTGCACCAAAACAGCATATTAGAATAATTTTAATGAATGAATTCATCCATTATAAATATTGCAGTTTTATCCAAAATAAATATTGTCAGCTTTTATCAGAATTAAAGATTAAAAATCACTTGGATAAACAAGAGTTGCATTGTGGGATACAGTATTTCCTGCAATTTTCTGTTGTATACGTCACATGAGGAACGTAGTATGTCATTTGAGTATTCTACACAAAGAACAAATATTTGCATACTGAGCACATTATACATACTAGTGTAGTAGAAGCAGTATGGTAATATGCTATTTATTTTTTATACTTTATGCAGTGAAATTATGATTATAAGTTTAAAGCATTTTAAGGAGTCTTACCTGAAGTCATCGCCTCAGTCTTCTCCTCATCGTGAGCTTCATTACCAATCCAAACAAACACCTGCAAAACACATCAAGATTCATTTAATTTCCCTGTGATGCATTATTAATTCATTAAACATCAGTTGCATGTCATTGCATTAATAAGAGAGTCGTTCTATCATGCTTGTCATTAATAAAAGACAAGCATGATACAAAATTCAGCTGAACTGCCAAAAATTTAATGATTAACCATCTATTTGGAAACTGTATTGAATCCAGAGGGGTTCAAGGTTTGGCCAATGAGCTTCTGCAGTTAAGTCTCTGCCATTTGATGCCATAACTACACACGGCCATTCAAAACTATGTATTTCTGATATAATAACATTTGCAAGCCATATAAAACCGTTTCCTGGTCACATGCTTCCATTGATATGAATGAGAATATGTAGCACTCCCTTTATATGTGACCCTGGACCACAAAACCAGTCATAAAGGTAAATTTTTCGAAATTGAGAGTTATAAATCATATGAAAGCTG